ACATGTGTTCTTTAATAAATATATGATTCATTACCTGGGTCTCAGAACGTATCAATCACCATTTTGGACTTCCTTCTTGGCTGCAGTTCAGGGCTGGAGCCAGCTCCACGTTCTGACCTTCCCAGTCCTGACCCCTGACTGGGACAAGATCCAGATTCTTTAATGAATCATCTGGCATCCTACTTACTTGCTTCCACACGCTCTTATAAAATTGGCATTGATCGCAGCCTCCATAAAGCACTTCTTTGTTATCTGACAGAAACAAGAGACAGCTCTCACGTTTTTTGGTTGGTGTTTAGTTTTGTTTTTAATTTCTAAGAGGGCTATGGGGACTATCCCTAGGGCCACTTCATGGGCGTGTGACCTGGGCCATAGCACATGGTCCCACGCCTGGTTTTATGTCCCACTGTTGCCATCTTGAAATTCTTAACACTCTTTAAACAAGAGGCCCCCACATTTTCAGTTTGCACTGGACTCCCTCCACCCCAAGTTATGTGGTGGGTCCTGCCTATCTCATTTGTCTGCATCTTAGCTCATGACATTAATTTTTCAAGTCATATGGATTTAATATTTATGAAACCCTCAGTGAATTAGAATTTCCCCCATTTTCCTCAAAAATAGACTCCAAACCTCTCAGTGTAGTGTGGCATTAAAAGCTTTTCATCTTCCCCTACCTCTACTGACACCCCTAAAACTTCCTTAGCCCCATCTCTCTCTCCTCTGCCTCTTTTCCCTCCAAATGTTAACTCCCAACTATTGTACTATGTGCTGTTTCTAAACTTGTGAGTTCGCCAGCTGCTGGGAATATCCTGTTCCCATCCTGCCCGGGATGGTCCTCTGTCTCTCTCCCTGGTTGACTCCAATTTATCCTACAGGTTGGAATTTAGATGTCACCACCTCTGGGAAGTCCTCCCTGACCTTCCCAAACCTGAGATATGGGGCTCTCATAGCCCCCTGTGCTAAACAGATCCTAGCATATCCTTAGCTTGCTAGGATGTTTTTCTGTTAATTTCTCTATCTCCCTTGTTAAATTGTGAGCTCCTTATAGACAGAGATATGTCGTGTTCTGAGGTGGCAGCCAGGCTCAGTTCCAAGGAGTAATAAGATCCCTCTCATCGAGTGAATGAATGAAGGAAGGAATGAATGGGTCCCTGGTTTATGTGGCGAATGCATGAGGAGACTTATGAGGTTTTCTTTCATCCCACTAGGAGAGCAGTACTTTCATTATTGAAGAAGACATTTCACAGCCTGCTCTGGCAGAGGCATAGGGATTCCTTTTCCAGTGCATCTAGGGAGGGCGTTGACCCACTCCCCCCTGATTTTTGTTCTTTCCAGGACAGTTAGATAGTAGCTCTTTGAATTTCTCAGCTTTGAGAGGGGTCCTGAAGTCTCTCCTGGGACCGCCCCTTGTCCAGTTCATGGAGGTAGCTCAGGTGAGACCTTCTCTACCCTAAAGGACTGTCTGGCTCAATACAACTCCCAGATCAAGTGTTTCTTCCTTCACCTTTCCTAGTCTATGTTCTAGTCACCCTCCACCCAGCCCCACTGAAACACTAACTCCCTACAGTTTTCATGTAATTAATCCCTCCCTGCTTTCCCACTGCATTTTGTTTTTACCTGTAAGGATACTGGCGCATGGTCTGACTTAACATTGCGTGACTTGTGAAACAGACTAGTCGATACACTTTGGAAGCAGGAGCAGAATGTTCAAATCTTTGTGGACTTTGTATGTCTCTGTGACTTCCACACAGTCACCACTCTAATTAACATGGCGCAATTTGGATCTGTAAAAGAAAGACTGAAATACACTCATCTTAGAAAAGAGCTCTGACAAAGGAAAGAGAGTGGCATTATCTGATGGAAAGAAAAATCTCCCCCAACTCACTGAAAAACACCTGAACTTGGAAGAAGGGGGCCAGGGGAGGATCAGGAAGAGAAAAACTGGAGAAGAAGAAGACAAAGGAAAGGACCTGATGACAAAGAGGTTGTAAGCTCTAAAGTCCTAGAGGTAAGAAGGGTTTAACGTTTGATAATGAAGGCACCACGGAGAGACTGAAGACTGGAGAGGAGGGATGAGCAAATTGCAGGGCAACCTGACCAAGGTCGTGGAGGCTGTTTTCCTTTGCCCCAGAGAAAAGGAGCAAGCGTGGCCCCAGACGCTCAGGCTCCACGGGATGAAAACAAAGTGACTCGTCTAAATAGCTGTCCTACTGCAATCAATGCTCCAGTTAAATATGGCGCTGTTTGAAAACGAGTGACCAGCTGTGACCAAGTTCCTTGGGAAGCTGTGACTTCCTTGGGAAGCCTCCGGTCCTTCTTTTGCAGCAAAACCCCATAGTCTCTTGCATCCAAATAAATACAACTTCAGAGACACTGACGTTAAGTTTTATTCAACAAACCTGGCTCACAGACGTATCATTTTTCTCTCTCCCTCGCTCCTTTCTCTGGCTAGGTTTTCTCTACTCGCTCTCTCTCCCTAGCTAAAGCAATTTGGCAAGTGTCTTGCAGTTTGGATCTTGAGCAGGAGGTTCTCTGAAATATAAACTTTTCTTGAATCAATGAGTTATTTGCCTAATGAGCCTGAAATTCTGGTGGGAGGGCATAGCTATGGAAACTTGCTGGGAGTTTGAATTTGAAAAGTTGCATTCCCCATCCTGATTCTCTGTTTCATTCCTTCTCAGAGTACAAACGCTGGTCCTATAGCTGGTTAAAAGTGGCTATGAGCATGACTAAATATTAAGTGGAAGATCTGTTATTATTATGAAAATGATCTCTTATGTGGAAAAAAACCGAACTTTGCAGTGAGAAAACTAAACAAAAACTGAGCTTTTCTTGTTCAGTATTTCTGATTAACTCCCACAATCATGTTACGAGATCCAGCATTTGAGTCCTCTCCACAGCTGATCAGCAAAGCCAATTTATGGGCACCCGGTTGTGGTGAAAAGAGTATTGGTAGACCAGAACTCCCTGACAGCTTTCAGGGAAGGATTTTTAGAGGCAACATTTGGGTTGAGGGCTATGGGGGGCATGGCTTTCTTCTGATTGGTTGGTAGTGAGGTAACAGGGCGACGTTTCATGAATATTAATCATCTGGGGTCCTGTGCTTTATAAAGTTAGCACTAGTCACATCCTCCAACGCAGAAGGGGGAGCATATGTCTTAGTTTCTGTGTTACAACTCAAAGATATGTGTCAGATTGTTTTGTATATCCTTAAAGAGGAACTAGGAGTCCTTTTTATCACTGAACTATTATCACTACTTTTTTTACTTAACAGCTTTTCCTTTGTTTCTGCATTCCCTCACTTCCCTAATTAGTAACTGCTTATACCTGCTCTTTGGAACTCAGGGAAGGCTTAGGAGACAAGCCTTTTCACACAAATAAGAAACGGGGGACACAGAGGCGGTTTCTGTACTCAGGAGGGCCCTGCAGGATCCTGCTTGGTTTTAATGTTTATTATTTCCGATTAAGGGCCCGCATCTGACATCTCTGGAGATGACTCTTGGGTCCCTCAGGATCCAGGTTTAAGCGACACAGTAAGAATGTTACAGCTTTACAACTTTGTAAAACTAACCAGTCTTGCACTTAAACAGCCTTATCTAATATTCTTTTTCCTTCCTCTATAATCTGTCTTTGAGAAATGTAAATCCAACCAGTTTTCCTCTTGTTCCAAGTTTGAAACTTTGACATGCTATAATAATCTTAACTTGTCTGAGATGCTTGGCTTAAAAAGTCATTAGAGGCTAACCCAGAACAAGGGCGCTTCCAGACAAAACAGCAGATGGGAAGAAATAACCCCAGACTGGAGTTCTGTCTTTCAGCATCTAGTAGTGCTCTGTGTTGTACCTTGCAGATGTTACCTGAAAAACTGGGTTCACTTCTTGGTGAGCATCAAGCCAAAAGACACAATCAAGTCAAAGATCAGGAGAAGGAAAGATTTATTACTTTATTTATTACTGAGAACACCCTACTTGCTGCAAGGGTCTTTCTCAAAGCAGCAAAATTGGGGGAGTTCATGCATATTCATAAAGAGGCTTGGGCAGTCTGGTCCCAGAGTTCAAGGCTGAGTTGATTGAAGTCCTGAGAGTCAGAGAAAGTCAGCGTCACCATTCCTTAGGTTCCAGTTGATTTGGTGGTTGAGCTCTGAGGGGGGTTTAAATCCTTCAAAATAGCTCAAGAAGTGCCTTAAGCTAGTCCTTATCATTGGAACAGAACTGAATCTTTACAATTGATTTGTTATCTTTGCTATTGTTACTTCTCTTGCCTGATAACAGTTTGTTCTTTTGGTCCCATAAGATTATATTATTCTTAAAATTCTTACTATTCTTGTCCCATAAGACCTGCTCAAAGACAAGCACTGTGGCCAGGCTTACATTACAAAATAGCTTAGGCCCAAAATGGCTTCTCTTATGTCAAGAACGCCAGGCCTGGTTCTCTTTAAACATAGATGTCTCCGCCCCAATCCACTTACACAGAGACCTTGTGGCAGTAATTGGCTTGACGACTGTTTCTTTAGAGTTACAGTCATGATTAAAAATGCTACGAAGCACAGTGAGGACGTCCTTGACACACGTCCTGTTTTCTGGGAAAAGATTACTACCACAGTAATTGAGCTATGAAGCAGAGACAAATTGCTCTTGGCAGCTTCAGCAGTGGTTCAAAGTACTGCAATTGACCGGAATCACCCCTACTGCTTTCCCTCCTTCAGTCTGCAAGATAAGGGCGATGGCATTGCACCTACAGATTATCTGCAAGATTCGAGTGCAATGAGAGAAACCCACAAGCAGCTGGACTATAACGGGATCTCAAACCCGTGACAGAGTTACACAAATGACCAAATGAAAGAGGAAAGGCCGGGAACTCCGCTGAGGGCCCACTCTGAGACCAGCGAAGGGTGCAAGACGATTTATTTATTTATACCCGTCCCGCGGCGCCAGCAGCTGGCCGGAGCCCGCGGTGACATCACGGCCCAGGCGCGGATCACGTGGTCCGAGGACCGCCCCGCCCCCTTCGGCTGCACCTCCTCCTCCCGCCGCCCACGCAGCGCAGGGTCCGGCCCGCGGTAGCCGCTCGGAGCTCTCCAGGCAGGAGCCAGTGCGAGGGCCGGCGGGCGGCAGACGGCGAGCGAAGCCGGGAGCCGAAGTGGTTGCCAGGGCAGCCGAAAAGCCCCCGGAGCGGCGCGGCGGGCCCAGAGCGACGCGGCCGAACCTCCTGCAAACTTGGGCGCGCGCTCGCGCCACTGCGCGGGCGGCCGGAGCGATGAAGATGGTGGCCCCCTGGACGCGGTTCTACTCCAACAGCTGCTGCCTGTGCTGCCATGTCCGCACCGGCACCATCCTGCTCGGCATCTGGTACCTGGTGAGCGCGGCCGGTCGCGGCCAGACCCGGGGCGCACCTGCCGGGGAGGAGCGCCGGCGGCCTGAGTCCCCGGAGACCCTGGCCCGCGCCCCAGCCTTGCTTTTCACGCCCCCTACTTGGCTCCTGGTTCGGCCTCGGGGTGGGCTGACGCCGGCGCTAATCCGCCTAAAGTTGTATTATTAGAAACTTAATTCTCTGGGTGAGCCTGCCCGCGAGGCCCCCGGCTCGGCCAACCTGTGGCGGGGGTGCGGTCAGGGCCCGGAGCTCGGGGGCGTTTCGGGGGTGCTGCTGGGCCGGGGGCGCGGAGAGCAGGAGGCGCCCGAACGCCCTCCGCCCCCGGCCGGCTGTGGTTTCCGGTGAAAGTGCACTTGGTGGTCGGAGAAGTCTGATCCTGTCTGCGGAGCACGTGTTTCCCTTTCTTTCTTCCTAGCCCCCGTTGGGCTTTGTGTTTCCACGGGTCCCGACAGCCGTCGAGGCGCAGACTGGGCACCCTGTGCTGCCCCTAGTCGTCGGGCGGGGTCGCGGACCCGCCGGCCCTTTCTCTCTGCCCGCATCTCGCCTCGGGTTTGCTGTCGGGTCCCCGAGGCACGCTCCCACCCGGAGTTGAAATGATTGGGGGTTCTTTATCCACGCGTTGCAAAGCTCTCACTCTGGAATGGATTTGCTTGTGGTTTACTGCGTTTCAGTCTGCCCGGGGCAGCCATTTTACACCCACTTACTTCCTGACCATTTACAGGTGATCCCGGTGTACCTTAATAAACGACATCGCAGGCAAACCTGATTTTTTTTTTTTCGGTTGGAGCTTTTAAGATCTTATTTGTATGGGAAGCAGTGGTTGTCAGGGGCAGGGAGAAAACCTGATGGAGTCTTGCCCTGTGCCAGCCCCAGGTTGAGCGTTGACACCCCAGGACTGCACTAACACTGACTCGGATTCCACTGCATTTTGGTTGAGACATCATGATGGAGAGTTAGACCCGCGCCACTTTGCGGTGAATACCTACCTCTGCATCGTGAGAAAGTACCTTAAAAGGGGTAGTAAGGTGCCATTTAGAACTTTTTAGTGGGAATCAGTTCTTATTTTCAGACATGAGAGTGTTTTGGTCTGTTCGTATTCAGTTTGTGTGTGTGTGTGTGTGTGATGGAATATAGACGTTATGTCGAATTGTGAACTCGTTTATTGTGGGTCATTTTAAGCGGAACATCCCCCTCGCCCCCCAGACACATGGTGTTCTGTGCGCTATTTTATAGTTTCAAGTTTCCTTTAGTCTGTACCTGTCACAGGCCACGCAATAGAAATATTTGGCCTTAAAAGCTTTCCAGCAGATCTTTGGTATGTATGTATGCAGTGTGAATGCAGATGAAACATCTGCGTATTGGCTCAATTCTGATTTTGCTAAAAACTAAGAAATCTTTACAAAAATTTAAAATTACGGCAAAAGGATGGTAGATCGCTTCGAAATACTGTTTTTATGGATGGTCCAGACAGATAATTTTATACACGTCTTGTGTCCTCCTTGAAAATGTTTAAATCTGCAGACTTGCAAGTACTTCAGTGAATGTAATTTGTAAAATCTAGGGCACTGCATTAGGCAAATGTACTACATGATCTACAGGGAAGATAAATCTACTTGAGCCCTGTTCTTGGCTGTAATCCAACCAGACGGCATTGCTGTGGTAAGGGAGTATTCTGCAAGCTTTGTCTATGGTTTGAGCATGCTCTTTGGGGAAAGTAGTTATTGGTATGCATGTTTTAGCATTTGGAAATACATGGCTTTTTGAAATTAGAAAGCTTTCTAGCAGATATGAATAAGAATACCACTTCAGGCAGATCTAACATATGGGAAACCTAGTATTGGTCATCTTTATGGAAAGACTTTTGCATTTCACAAAACAATTGAAACTTTTAAAAATGAATTTCCCTCATACCTTTAAATATAATTTGATTATCCAAAACTTTGATTTACATGAACGTTTTTAAGATAAGGGAGCTGAAGAACAGGGCATGTATTTCTTCCTCCTTCTCCTAACCCGTCACTCCACCAGCCGTCTGGACGGGATGGAGTCACTTATCAGGAAGGGGTAGAGTTTTCAGGAAAAAAAAGAGTAGAGGTATAGATAGATATTCAAAAAAGAATCCACTAGAAAGACTCTTCCTTAAACTAATAAATGACGGCCTGCCGTGCCAGGTAGGTCAAGTGGATCTTTTTTAATGCATTTTCTGACCGGTTCCTACATGACCGTCCTGGGTGCCAGATACTATACTAGATATGTTGACTTCAAAAAAAAAAAAAAAAAGAACAAGGTAAGAGCTGTGAGTTGAGTTTATTTGGTGACTTCCTGAGGAATCTAGCTCAGAAGACAGACTCACAGATAGTCTGAAGGGGTCAGGATGGAACCGGGATATTTGATTTTTTTTTTTTTTTTTGCTGGAAAAAATCCGTAGTCCAACATCAAAAGATGACTGCTCATCATAAAGAACAGACACCTCAAGTTAAAGATTTTAGTGCGTTTCTATGTGTGGGAAGATGCAAGAATCTGGGCCCACTGAAATTTTTCCTTAGCTAAAAACCATCAAAGCACAAAAGGCTTCCTTTTTTCCTGCATCCTGAATTCCCCTCAGGTCCACCGTCGGTGGGTGACTGCAGGGGCTAATGCAGATCCTTGTAGAACCGGAATGGCAGGCAACATTTTTCTTTACAGTGCTTTGCATAAGCTTAATTTTATTCCCGGTAAGGTAGATTTTCTTATTCCCATTTTATAGATGAGAAAACTTAGGTGAAGAGAGCTTAGGTGATTTACATAAGGTTGGCTTAGGTTGTGTGTGTGTTTTGTTTTGTTGCCTTGGAATTGTAAAGGTTTCCTTCAGTCCAGTATAAAAGCATATTGATTTCAGCTATTTATCCTAGAAATCGATTTCTGTTTGGCTTTGTTTTGTTTTTTCATTTTTTTATTGAGACATAATCTACGTAGGGTGAAATTCACAGATATTAAGTGTACAGTTCACTGAATTGACAAATGCATGCACCTTTATAACCCACAGCCCTAGAGACCATTTCCCAAACCCCAGGGAGTTCCCTTGTGCCTCTTCCCAGTGGGCTCCCTCCGCAGACACCTCACCCCACCCCATAGGTGAGTTGTGCCTATTCATATAAATGGTGTTATACTTTATGTATTGGTTTGTATTGGGTTTCTTTCACTTAGCATAATGTTTTTAATTCATTCAGGGTTTTGAAGCGTATCAGCAGATTGTGCCTTTTTATTGCAGAGTATTGTGTGAGCATTCCACTAGTCTGCTTCTCCATTTGCCAGATGATGGACATTTGGGTTGTTTCCCGTTTGGGGCTATTATGGATAAATCTGCTCTGAACATTCGTGTTTTGTTTTTTTTTTAAAAGAATGAAATTTTGCCATTTGCAGCAACGTGGATGGACCTGGAGGGCATCATGCTAAATGAAATATGGCAGACAAACACCGCACAACATCATTTATATGTGAAATCTAAAAATACAACAACTAGTGAATAGAGCAAAAAAGAAGCAGACTCACAGATAGAACAAACCAGTGGTGACCAGTGGGGAGACAGAAGAGGGGAGGGGCAAGATAGGGGTAGGGGGAAAAAAAACCAAGAAGCACACAGTGCTGTCCTGGAGGGTGTGTGTCTAGTGCTGAGCGAGGTGAGGGTCACCACCGGGTTCTTACTTGTATTTTTGATTTGGTGGGTCTTGCAACGTTACAGTTTCCCTCGCCAATGACCTTCTGCGGTACTGAGTGGCTGTAGGACATGGCAGTGTGTGTCTGAGAACAACGCTGCTCTGAACATTCTTGCAAAAGACTTTGTGAACATATGTTTTTATTTCTCTTGAGTAAATACCTAGGAGTGGAATTGCCCGTCATTGGGTAGATGTGTGTTTAACTTTATAAGAAACTGCCAAGCGGTTTTCCAAGTTGCCATTTTACGTACACGCCAGGCAGCAGTGTGTGAAGTTCCCGTGGGCTTGGAGTGGTGGCTCTGGTGGCTTCAGTTTGCATTTCCCGGGGACTAATAAGGTGGAACAGTTTGTCTTTGTTGGCCAGTTATCTTTCTTCCTTTGTGAAGTGCTGTTTACTGCCCCCCCCCCCTTTTTTCGGATTTTGTCTTTCTTTTCTTACTGATTTGTAAGGACTCGATATTTTGGATACCAGTCCTTTGTTAAGTGCATCTTTTATGAGTATTTTCTCTCTGGATGTGACTTGCCCAGTCATTTTCATAATGGTACATTTTGATGAATAGGAGTTTCTAATTTCAATTACATTTAATTTGTCACATTTTTCTTTCATGGTCAGTATTTTCTATGTTCTAAGAAGCCTTTGCCTATCCCCCACCGTAAAGATATTTTGTGTTTTCTTCAGAAGCTTTATGGCTTTTATATTTACATCTGTTATCTAAAATTAAGTTTTGTGTTACAACATGAGATAGAGGTTTTCATTTATTTTAACACCTTTATTGTGGTATGATTCCTGTACAGTAAACTACACATATTTCAGATGTACAATTTGGTGAATTTAGATAGATGTATACACCAATGAAACCACCACCACAATCAAGATAGCTGACATTTCCATCACTCCCCAAGAGGTGCAAATTTCAAACTCCCAATTTATCCCTTCCCACCCCCTTTACCCACTGTATTTATTTTAAAGGCAGTTTAATCATCACATCTAAAAGTTGATTTATTATATGACCTTTAATAACTGCATACATTTTTAAAAAGACAAGTAAGTGCTTATCCATCTTCCCAGAGAATGAGGACTGACTTGTCCTCGCTTCCAGAGGAATCATGACATGAAAGAAATACTTAAAGCACACTGATTGCTATGCAGGCTTCCGGGGTTTCCTCTTTCTTCAGCAAAACTTAATATTCTAAGCCTGAATCCATTAAGTTCCTCCTCAAATTTGCCCAGACTCTAGTCTCTCTCTCCCCCACTACCTAGACTCCCCAGCTAGTTGCCTCTGGTCCCCT